TTGTTTACCTGAGCTAGGCAAAGTAGCTTCTGACTGCTGGAGTTAGTTCTGCAGTGCAGTCAAAGCCTGAAGGTACAAGGCACTTAGAAATGGGTTTGCTCCCATCTTAGCTTTGACTGAGACCCCTGCTCTAAACTGCTGCCTGCTGCTTTGATAGAAAAATACTCTGTATTAGTTATATGGCTATCAGGAATTCAAACATAGTCCCTCCTGTCACAGTTTTGCTACTTAGGATGGATTAGGAAGAAACTTCTTAGGGACATTACATCACAGTATCAAAATGCACCTAGTGTAAAACAAAGCCTCCTTCCTATCCATGCATCACAGGACTGCTGGAGCTTTGAGCTGATAGTACAAAGTGAATCTTCTCCTGAAAGAATCAGCCTTAAATTGAGAACTATATCAAGACACCTGGGGATAACACCAGCCTGCCTGCCAGAGTATGTTATGGGGAGACTGTCAAATCCTTAATCCAAACAAATCTACTTGATTCATGTCTGTTCTTCCTCCACTAACAGGCTGTGGTGGTGTAGCCATGGGAATGTACAATCTTGACCAGTCTATCAAGGATTTTGCCCACAGTTCCTTCCAAATGGCACTGTCTAAAGGCTGGCCCCTCTACATGAGCACCAAGAACACCATCCTGAAGAGATATGATGGCCGCTTTAAAGACATCTTCCAAGAGATCTATGACAGGTAACTGAGATGGTTGTGTACTTCCTACCACAGTGCATAAGTCTGCAGCAAGAACATCCTCTCCAGCATTGTGAACTGTTACAGTTAATTCAGCATTTTCAGACACTCAGCAGCACTTTGTGGGGGCTGTGCACCTTCTCTGTCACATTCTCCATTGTCCTGCAGGACACAGTACTCAATGTTTAAAGCTCTGCTAAATGTGGATGTGATGTTGATCTCTCCTAAGTCACAGATTCTCCATGGGCTCCTCTGTGATTCTGAAGCAGACTTGCAGTGGCCTAGCAAAGCAAGCGAGGAAAAAAAACAGAGTAAAGATGATGCAAATTTCTTTTTTTTTTTTTTACTCTTTTCTCTATTCACCTCACTATGCACAATTATTTGCACAAGTTGTGCAATCTCTGTTTTTATCTATGTGACAAGGTGTTCTGTTTTTTGTTTTCCAGAGAATACAAGTCCCAGTTTGAAGCCAAAAAGATCTGGTATGAGCACAGGCTCATTGATGACATGGTTGCTCAGGCCCTGAAATCTGAAGGAGGCTTTGTCTGGGCCTGCAAGAACTATGATGGGGATGTGCAGTCTGACTCTGTTGCACAAGGTATGAGATGTTTTCTGTGCTACACTGAAGTAGCAGTCTCATGTGAACTTGTGTCTTATCTTACGTAATGGCGCAGGAGGTGGTGTTGGGTCTCAGCATTTACATTTTAAACTTGTGGTCAGTCATGGAGATACCAGGCAGGCAAGGAATTTCTGATTTTGCTTTTACAAGAAAATCTATTGAATGTAGACTGTGTAGTTACTTTTTTTTACCAGATGGCAGTTCCTACCAACACAATAACTGATTGGCTTTACATTCTAATGGAAGGTGTCCAGAAAGCTGGGATTCTGTCACTGACAGCTTGAGTTAAGCTGACTGGTGGTGAGCATACTGGCAGGTGCTCTACAAATAAGTAAGAAAACCTTCAGGACCCAAAGCTACCTTGTCAGGTGTAAAGAGAGAGATTAATGTGTTTAAGTTTACAGACTTGTAGTGCTTGATCAAAATCCTATATAACCAAGCTGTCTGGTGCCAAAACAAATGTGGATGCAGAAACCCAGGGGCCAAAATGTGGGGCTTTATGTAATATGCTCTTTCTAAAGTAATGCCAGTAAACTGCCTCCCACAGAACAAGGATGTTTGCTGGACTACTGAACAAAGAAGCTTTCAAAGACACAGATATCTGAAACCTACAGGGTTAGAAGTGATGTGAATGTCCAGTGTTGCCAGCTCGTGGTTCCTTTCACTAGAGCAGATGCTCTTAATATGAAATAGTTTTCTTTCCTATCACCCTGCAGGGAAGATAGTGATTGTCAGCCCAACACTGCTTATTTAGGATTCTTTGTTTTCTTACTGCACCTTTTCAGTAAAGATCTGTCCAGCAAGTGCGGTGAGAATAGTAGTTTTCTTGAAATGGTGCAGAATGTCTGCCTATCTATATCTCATGGTTCAGCAGCACTTTCTGTTCAGATGAGCTGTTATTTTGATGTGTCAGGACTTGCCAGTTATATGCAGCAGCACTGCTGTTCAGGAATACTCACATCAAGGCTGGGAGGATGTAGGGGGATTGTAGGATGGGGGAATTTAAGGGGGCTGTCCCTTAAATTTTAAACTTTTTAAACTGTGCATTATGTAGGCTATGGCTCTCTGGGGATGATGACCAGTGTGCTGATCTGCCCTGATGGCAAGACTGTTGAAGCAGAAGCTGCTCACGGCACGGTTACTCGTCACTACCGCATGCACCAGAAAGGCCAAGAAACCTCCACTAACCCCATTGGTGAGCTGCTTTTCACTGTGCTTCAGTCATCTCTACACATGAAAGGACAGCTTTGGAGTAAGAACATCTGCATCCTTTCTGCAGAGAATTCCACCACTAAGTGGTAGTTCATAATGCATTTTTCTTACATGGAGACAGCTGCAGCCTAGAGAAAAAACATCTGGAAGGGAGTGAGTGTGAGCACTAAGCTAGACCTAACCTAGCTTTGAGACATACTCTCACTCTTCAGCAAACAATGAGTTTATAGCCACAATGGCCTTAAGGTTTAGATGGGTTGTTTTTTCTTTTATTCCCCTTCCTGATGCTCCAAAAGACCCAGTCACCCCCCAAACCACACACTTACTTAAAGTGTAAGTGCACCTAAAATGGGGCATGAGGGAAAGAACACTCTACAATTGCATAGGGACCAGGGTGCAATGTAATACCAGGAAGAAGACTGCACCCTTTTATCCTAGGGACATCTGTGTAACTACTACAGGCCTGCCTCTGGTCATTCTTTCTGACTTGGGCAGAAACAAAATAATCTCTTTGTGCATGCCATTTTATCTTGCTAGAGGCAGGGAGAAGTTTCTGGGGTTTACTTTTCTTTAGAGCTGCACAAATTGTAAAGGATGGCTAGATGAAGATATGTGTTCTCTTTCCCGTACCAGATTTTCTATCTTTTTTCTGTCTGTTTTTGGTTTTACTAATGTTAAAAAACAATTACTGGTCGACGTGACCATTTAGAAAAATATCTGGGGAGTTCTAGAAGGGCAGAGTAACCTGGTGTTCTCTCTCAGCCTCCATCTTTGCATGGACAAGAGGACTAGCTCACAGAGCTAAGCTGGACAACAACACTAGCCTCAAGAACTTTGCAGTTGCCCTGGAAGAAGTCTGCATTGAGACCATTGAATCTGGCTTCATGACAAAGGACCTTGCTGCCTGTATCAAGGGCCTGCCTAAGTAAGTCTATTAAGTAATCAGCTGTGCTTGGAGGAGGCTGTTTTATTTCGTGTTTCTGAACAGCATTTGCTGGAAAGTTATTTTAGTATGGTGAAGAATCGCTGGAGTCTGGTCACAGAACAGGGCTCATCTGTAACCAGTGCTGTACAAAGAGAACGTGAGATACTCCCTGCCCCATGTAGCTTCGTCTAGGTTGCTCTGTCCCTGCCATTGTACCAAATGCATGGCGAAAAAATTAAGAAGGAACTGCAAAGATTTCTCTTATGACAGGCTGGCTACATTGGCCAGATCCTGCCCTGTTCATTTATTAGGATGGGGACCTACTTCACTGCAAAATACCACCTGGCTACCTCTTCTCTAGAGCCTTTTGACAAAAAACATCTGCCTGATGAGTAGGAGATATAACTGTTTTGTTTTTAGAGGCAAGACGTAAAGAGTTCTTTGAACAGTCTTGCCCTGCTTTGAGTAGCTTTACAACTAATGTGTGTCTTGTTTTGTTTCCCCCCCCTCAGTGTCACACGCTCTGACTACCTGAACACCTTTGAGTTCATGGACAAGCTTGCTGAAAACTTGAAGGGGAAGCTGGCCTCTCTGCCCAAACTTTAAGGCACGAGTTCCACTCAAGCTCCACTAGCAAAGCATCTCCCACTTACACCAGAGTGTAAGTGGCACTTTATCACACTCTGTTGTGTAATATTTGAAACACTAGACAAAATGAACATGTACGCTTTTTTTAAAAATGTTTAAAAGACCATGTTTTCTTAAACCCCTTGAAGCTGCTGGGTTAGGCCTTACTTTTGCTAAGCAGCTGAATGTGATAGTATTCAATCTCAATTTGTGTCTGGATTCCTAATGTCATTCACAGCAGACCTGAGATTTCTCTCCATGTCTTTGATTTATGTTTCTTTTCTCTCTTCCTCTCAGACTGAAAGCCAGTCTATGTCACAGCTCTGGTCAAACCAGTGGTGACTTACTGTCCAACAGACCTTAGAAATCAGAACCATCCTCATCTCTCCAGTACTGTCCACCGAGTATAAGTGAGCCTGCAGGGCTATGCGAGCTCTACTGCAGCCCTTCTCTTACTTAATTTATCTTTTACTGCCAACCAGAGCATAGTATCCTGATACTAAAGGATTTGATCCTGTTGCTACAGTCGGTCTGTAGCATTTGACAAGAAGCACTTAGCGCTGGAAACAAGCTCTCTAAGCTAAGAGCCTAATAAAGCCATGCTGCAGTGTCTAAATGCAGGCTGTGCATTTAGTTATACTCCTCCTGACTGCATGTGAAGCATAGGAACTGTTACCTCTTCCCCCACCCTACAATTCATAAAGGTGCAAAACTTTTCTCCAGTTGTCTGGGCCATTGCTTAACCTTCCTGTTGTGATACAGCAAGTTTGATGGTGACTGTGAAAAACTATTCCATCCATGGTTTTGTGTTTCTTTTTTTTAAGAATATTTTAGTTCAGACTAAAATAAAAGCCAACTAACATTCTTTGTCTCTCTCTTTCCTCTGTGTGATTAGCAGATACAGGGAAATTCTGCCTCAGAGACTCCAGTACCTTTCAGTACAGTTCAGTACATGCTGGGACAGACTGCTGGAATGTGATATAAACACAAAATAATCTCTCCCTTCTTAGAGTAGTTTTAATTTGTTCTGGCCCACGGCAAGATGTGATCTCTAGTGTGGCGCTAAGCATCAGGTAGTGCGCAAAAATTTAAAGGTACCACTTGCACAGAAATTTTATTTTGGGACTAATATAAACTCAAACTAACATATCACTCAACAAAGATCAGAAGTGGGTTATACAGGAGACAAACGCTCACCCTGCAGCTGACTAGCTATAAGTGTTGGTTAGGATAGAAATGTAATGTTAGACTATATCAGCTACTATTAACATTTCTTTTAGGATGAACATGTGTTTGAAGTGCAGCTCTACAACTGCTAGCAGCTGTCACTGTGCCTTCAATATGAATGAACACAGCTGTCTGCTATTCTGTTATTAACACAAGCATGTAAGAAGTGGAGCTGGAAAAAGTCTTATTGCCAACCCATGGAAGCAACAGAATCAATCGGTGGGAACATGTGGAGATCTATGTTCCTGCCTGGCTTCTGACATCAGTAGTTCAAATTACAGTGCCACAGGCAGGCAGGTGATACTACAGCAGCACCCCTAACAAATTCCCTGTTATTTACTAGCTCCTACCCAGCTTCCAGAGTTACAGAGTGCCAGAGAAAGCTTAGGACCTTTCAGGAAACTGAACAAATAAATAAAGGGGCATTTTTAAATCTTATACTTTTCGTTTGTTTGTTTTAATGACTTAACAGCATAACTTAAGTGTAAGCAATGTAGTAGCATTTACCTGACTGCAGGTGACACTGTTTTCCATCTGTATTAACAAAGTTTCCATCTTCTGGAGGACTCTGCAGAGTACAGCAAGACTCAGTCTATCCATATGAACTGAAGGATGTTGCTGAAGTGAGAAAGGAACACTTGTCTCTGGCTTGGGAGAAGCAGCAGTTAAGTGTGGTCATAAGAACAGAGCATCCCTCTCCCTGCTCTGCCATGGAGAAAGAGGAAACATTTTTACTGCTTCTGAGGAGGCACATTCATTTCCCCTTTACTACCACTACAATAACTTATTTTCTCCATCATTCCCTCAAACATTTATTATCAGTAACCTTCAAAGTTAGACACCAGTAGAGCCTGCAAAAGCAAGTGCCAGAGGCCAGTGAGCACTCACTCTGCAATGGAAGAATCCACAGGATTTCCTGAAACATGTCTGCTTCACAGTATACCAGCTGCTTCACAGAGCTCTTGGGTAGTGCCCTTGTAGCTCCCACCACCAGTAACAGCCCTTTGTACCACCCCTCCTGTCAGCAGACCCCAGCATAAGTTGTCTTCTATTGAAGTATAGCCTAGCTTACCTTTAGTGCTGACACTGGTGTAGTTAGATGTATACATCCATGTCCTACATATTGCATGCTCAGGACTGGTGGAAGACTCAGTTTTCAACTCCATAACTGTGCACCTCCCCACTGACAGCAAATACAGCGAGAGGGGATAGATCAGTTATTTGACATGGCTCCCTTCCAGAACAGGGGAGAGCTCTGACTTCTAGGGCTGTTCAAGGCTTTAGCAGTCAACCCAAAATGTGACTTCCCAGGGGACTGCTCTACCTGTGCGGAAGCTACCTTTAGAAGATAATACCAGGCACTATGTCAGCATGCTGCTTCTGCTTGCTGTCAAAGCCTGGGCTGCTGCAACACTTCCAACAGCCCCTGTGGGTAGCTACAGTGGCGGAAGACCAGCCCTCCATAGTGTACTCTCCCTGGGCTCGTGTAGAGCCAGGAAAGAACTGTCAGAGAGAGCTAGTTGTCTGTGATGCCACAAGCATTTGTGCACAAAGACTTCGCAGACAAGTCCCCTAGCATTTAAAGGTGTTGGGGTGGCAGGGAATAACATCACAAAGCTTTTATACTGTTCACAAGACTTTATTTATACTTTAAAATGAAAATAAAAAATAAGCTATGCAAAACATTAGAGATATTCTAGCAAAGACACAAAAGCCCTCAGGAGCTTGGGGGCTGCCACTGTTGTACTGGTGGCTCCACATCTCTTCTCATTGTTATTAGCTTGCATGTCTCGGCACTGGAACATTCTTGAGGAAGCCACTCTTCCTCCTTTTTTATCTTTTTTGTCATTGCTTTGGCTTTGGCAGTTTTCTTCTTTTTGGTTTTGTAGAGAGGCGAGTGGAGGAACTCTGTGTTTGTAAATGGGTCACCCCGCCTCAGTTTGCTGCAAAACCAAAAGGGTTAGATTGAACCATCAAGGTATTTATTCAATACACGTATTATTTCAGTCTCTAAAGTTTCTGATTTTACAGAAATGCTTCCACTGTAAGACGATCAAGTGGTACAGTTTGTTCCTTGTCCAGTATAGGAACAGCTGCACCAGTACAGAGTACCTTCTGACCTAGTATAACCAACTCCTCACAGAAAGTTCAAACCATGACACATTTCAGGGAAAAAACATAGTATTACCCAGTAGCATAACAGCAAAGTCATCATTTTAGGAGTTAAATGGTTCTCTACAGTACCCATTGGATGTGCTGAACCTACAGTTTCTTAGGCAAAAGATGCAACTACTTCTTTAGGTACTCATATCTGCCAGAAAAATCTAATACAGTACAGCCTGCTCACAGGGGAGAACAATCCTCAAAGCCTAGCATTTCCTTAATTGAAAATGTTGTTGTATAAAACTTTAGATATCACAGAATGGCAGCAAGTGAAATCAGGGCCTTTGCTTAGCTGTCTTTATTTAACCTGTATTTTATCCTCACGCTAATCCCTCATTAGCACTGGAGTACCACTGCTAAGAGATGTGCTCTCTTGACTAAGGGAAATAACATCTTTGGTAGCTTGTCACCAGAAGCCTGCACATGCACTTGTGCTAATGCGGAATTTTAGCTTAACCACACTGTGGCAGAAGAGGAAGGTCACAGAAACATGAAGGGTAAGAGGAACTTAGAGACAAGCAAAGTGACAGAGCATCCAGCCCTGAAGAGTGAGCACATAGCAGGAGTTGCAGCATGGGAGGAGTCATGGGAAGGAATAGTTTAAAGCCCAACCTGTTGAGTTTTGGCTCTGCATAGCAGGGTGGGTCCCGTCTCCGCCTGGATGAGCGCCCTGACACTTCTTCTGAGCTGGGAGAAGACAGAGTCCTGGCATTGGTCAGGTCCTGCAGTGGCCTGATCTCTGCAAAGGGAGACATTCACACATGAGTTGATCAAAGTGTTTCCAAATAATTTCCAGATATCCTAAGAAATACATCTGACTAATAGAGAAGGATTGCATTACCAGGTTTCTCTGAACACTGCACAGTCCTGAATCCAATCACGGTCCCTCTAAACTCAGGAAACCATTTTTGTCCAAAAACCCCAGACCTGCTCCTCAGAAGGCAGCTCATGAATCAAATTAGGTTCCTCACTGAAAAAGTATGGGTCACTAATCCTGCTAGTATCATTGGGCCCTGATGTAGTGGAAAAATTATACAAAAATGATAGCTGACGGCTCTAATGCCCAAAAGCTTACAGCCTAGAGAAGAATTCAAGCTAACGGCACTCAAGCAACCTATGAGACTTCCAGCAAGACACAGGACCCTGCTAGTGTTTACTGCAGCCTCTAAAGTTAAGCCAGCCAAGAGAGGGAGGGCAGGAGAACAAACTTCCTCCCTCTCTACAAAGTGCAGCCCACTCTAGCTATAACAAGCCTGTTTGTCAACAGCTACAGGAAGGAAAAACTCCACAAAACAACTCTCTTTACAGATTATCCAATAACAGCAAGCTCCCAAAAAGGCTCAGCTTAACTACTGTATTACCAGCCAAGGAATACACACTCCAAATACTTTTAAAAAACAAAATTTAAAAAAACACAACCAAGAGAATTCAGGTAACTCCTGGTAAATTTCCATTAAAGATACCTCCTAGAGGTATAGAGTCCAAATCCCTCCAGCGTTAACTATTCTGGTCCCAAAACCTGTGTCCTGGTATCAGCTGGGATGGAGTTAATTTTCTTCTTAGTAGCTGGTATGAGGCTATGATTTGGTTCTGTGCTGAGAAGAAGGCTGATAACATACTGATGTTTGCAGTTGTTGCCAAGCAATGTTTACATTAAGCCAAGAGCTTTTCAACTTCTCATGCTTTGCCAGTGTCTACAGGTACAGGAGAAGCTGGGAGGGAGCACAGCACCAATTACTAGCCTAGGATTTGACCTTAGGTTTAGGACTGAGACCCAAATTGGCCACTGGTATATTCCATTATCATGCACATCATGCCCAGTATATAGACAAGGGTCTTTCCGGAAGCTCTTTCTCTCAGGCTCTTCTCTCTTTTTCAGGATTGCAGTTTTGGGACTCCCTCTCTGCTCCAGAATTGTTAGCTGGGAACAGGTTGAGCCTTGGTCATTGCGTGGTGAGCAGCTGCACTGTGTATCACTCATTTGTATATTATTATCTTTATTATTTTAAATTTAATTTTATTTCAGTTATTAAATTGTTCTTATCTCAACCCACAGGTCTCCATTTCCTTTACCCCCTTAATTCTCTCTCCCATTCCCTGGGGACAGGGAAGGGTGAGCAAGCAGCTGCGTGGTCTTTCAGTCACTAGTTGGGCTAAACCATTACAACCTTCATCATATTCTGTGCCCCACTAATGCCGACCCTAGTAAGTAGGGTCAGCATCAACTTATACTTTTCAACTGCTTGAGTAACTGATTTCCAAAATTGACAGGCATGCCCTGTAGAGAACAAGAGCAGTAAAACGAGAGTCGCAGCTCATGCTCTAGTCTTTTCCCAATATCCACACATATGGGAACAATACAACAAATGACCAGAAGTTCTTATAGGAATGCTGACAAACTAGAGGCAAATGCAGCCACAAAAACGACTGGCCATCACAAGTGGAAGCATAAATGGTGTATTGGACACCAATCTTTAACTCTGAAAAAGAGGAGGAAAAGAAAAATATAAGCACTTGCTCCATGGATTTTTGGCACTCATCTCCAAACAGGTTCCCTTCCCAGCCTATCACCTACCAGGTTCCTGTGAAGATGAGCTGTAAGAACTTGTCTCAACCTGGTTTCTTTCCCCAGATATTTCCTCTTCAGTCTTTTCTTTAAGTATCAGTGAGCTCTCTGGCCAAACAGAGAATTTCTCTGGCACTCTGTTGCCCTCAGTACTTAAGCTCTTGGCTACTGGTACATCTGTAAGCCTGGAGTTGACAGGCAAAACCGCAGAACAGGCCACAGAGGAGGATTCAAGACTGTCTGAAATGTCCATAAGATTATGTGCAAGTGATATCTCAGCTATCTGCTCCTCCAGGCATGCATCTGCCTTAGACAGCAGATCTGTAATGCAGGAAAACTTCCCTGTCAGGAGAGTTTGCTTGGATGCAAGTTCTGCTGAACTTCCAATGAGTGCCTTGGCACCATCACTTTGTCTGGCCAGGGAATCAGTCTCTGGAGGAGTAGAGGTCTTCCTCTTCAGCTTGAGTTTGGGATCAGCCTTTTTTTTCAAAGCATTCATGTTGCTGTCAACTTTAGCTTGCCCCTTTTCTTGAAGGCCCCCTGTCTGTTTTTTATTGCTCTGATCAGTCATCATCCTCTGAATTCTGGGAATTTTGCTAGCTTTGCTCCCAGGAACAGATCTGGGAAGCACAATTTCACTCCCTCCAAAATCCATCTGGACAAAACCCAAGTTTTCTGCAAGATCCAAAGGACGGACAACATAAGTTTTCCTGCTGCTTTTAAGATTACTTGGTGAATCCTTTGTGCTCTCCTTAGCTACTCCTTGAACATCTATACATGGCCCAAAAACATCAACTTCATTTTTCTGATCACTACAAATGCTTTTCCTGACAGTCTTCTTCCTGCTTGTCTGGCTTCTTTTAGGCTGTTTTTCAGCATCGGCCTCTGGAATTTCCACACTGTTTGTCAGATTCTCCTCATCAGAGTCATCTCTTTGCCTAATTACTCTAGTTTTTCTGTTGGTTTTCCGTCTGATCCTCTTTGTGCTCACACTTGAGTCCTCTTGCAAAGCACAGCCACTTGAGGTCTCTTTCCTCAAGAAAAGTGAATTTTGTAGACTGGAGTCATCTGAGGGAACTTCATGACTTGAGAAGGCACAAACTGGGTTTTTTGACAAGCTCTCCATACTTTGGATCTGAAAGATAGCTTCCTTCTTAACTTGTTGCAGTAAGTCACCACTTCCAAGACTGTGCAGCTGTGCTGGATTCACCACATATGTTCTTCTGAGATTGCGGACTTCATCAGGAGAGCGGGAATGTTGCTCCACACCACAGCCTTGGTTCTTCCTGTCAAAAACCCCCATGCAAGCTTTCTGCCTCATCTCAGGAGCTTCAGACTCACTACAACATGTTGCAACTTTTTGTTGAAGAAGCTTCTTTGCATTTTGAGCACTCTCTTCACTTTGAGGTAGACCAAGACTACTTTCTGCATTGTTTTTAATTGCATTTGTTTTCTTTTTTCCTGTGCTTGCTTTTTTAACAGTTGTTTTCTCGCCAGCTTTACAACTACCTTTGCTTTTAACCTTTACAGGAACAAACTCAGGAACTTGGCTATAGCTGGGTTCTGTTTCAACACCACACTCAGTTTCTTTAGCCTGTGACTCATCACAGAAAATCTCTTTATCCGAAGATTTTCTATCAGGAATAACAGTAGTTTGTGTAGGTGAAACCAGGGAGCTGGAAGACTTCAGCTGTGGCTGTGTGTTGCTCTTGCTGGAGCTGCTGCTGTCCTTTGTGATACTCCACTGAGCTGCCTGAGTGGAACTGACATGTGGGAAGATATCCACACCAGAAGATGGAGTGCTTGTTGCAAACAGGGTGGAACGCTTTCTCCTCTGAGTAACATGCCCTTGTGAGAGACGATCAAAGAACTGTTTTGCCGTCTCATTGCCCTCATAGGAAAAAGGATGACTTTCACAGGCAAACGGTGGCAAATCGTTGGGATTTTGTTGGGTGGCACACGAGGCCTCTGTTGGAAAGACAAAATTCAATCCTAAGACTGAGAAAAGCAGCAGGCAAATGCCAGCTTTCCCCACACCACTAAAAGCCATGCCCCACACACTGCCACAAATCCAGAGCATAGAAAAAGCATGATTTTGTCTCTACAGGGAGAGACACACAAACTTACTGTGTAACAAAGTTGCTCAGCTGATTCCCCTCAGAAGAGAAAGGCAGCCCAAAGCAAGATCCCTTAACCAGCCCTAATATTTAGGAATGCACACGATCTGTATGAGAGTTATTATTTATATGGCAAATCCACAAGGAACAGAAGATGTGCATCTAGTCAGGTTCTGCAGCTTCAGACATTTCTGAATATCTTATGTGCGCTCAGTACCTATTACTCAGAAAGCCTGATGATGAGCTATTGCAAACTTGCCAAATATCCCCACCAAGACATCCCATTCTGGGATATACATAATTCTAGCAACATCAGTGTCACTGAAGCTTACAGTTCCTAACAGTATTTAGGAGCTGCTGGAGTGATGGTTCGGAGCTAACTGGAGCTATGGCACTGCACTCAATTCATTTCTGAACACAGACAGACAAAGTCATACTGGAAGAACAACAGAAGATGCATATTCACCTCCAAAGATGTGAAAGTCAAGTAAAGCCTCTTGTGTTTCCATTGCTTCATCTGGCTTCTTCCCCTTCTCTTCCTGGTGGCACTGAGGCTTCTCAGCAGGCTGTGGTGGCAAAGTGTCTTTGGAGGCAACAGGCACAATTTCCAGGGGCTCACTAGAAGCAGGTCTCTGAAGATCTAGTGAGAATGTCTGTACTGCTATGGGGCTGTCATCTTGCTGTCCTGCACCACACAGCTTGGAAATGGGCACCCTCATTGGCATCCCTGCAGACCTGGTGAGAAGGAATAACAGCAATGGAGCGTGTTCCATACCTGTCACAGGCCCCAGAATCCAGTAGGATAGCTACAGCTTTCAGAGTTGCTGAAATACATTGCTGAAGGCTTCAAGTGCTGAAGAACACACACTGCACAGCCAGGACAGATTTCCCATTTTTGTGCAAGGACAACTCATAAGGAAAGCACACTACTGCAGACAGAGAAGCAGGAGAAAAATACACTGAGGCAACAAAGTAGTAAGACCCTTCGGCGCACCGGTTGACCTCACTGTGGAACACCAACGTGGCTGGCTTGAAGGTACCTGTGTGGGCAGCTCCAAGGGCTCCACTGGGTTCAAAGGGGAGACTAGATAGTGGAGAAACAGCACTTCAAATATATTTTTAAGAGATACGGCTCTGACCTTCTTTCCAAAACACAAGTTTACATCATACAAGAAAATGACTATCAAGCATGTGTAACAAACATCAAAAAAAACAGCTATTGCACTCACTCACTTAAGAAAATCTTGCAGTGCTCACCACCTACAAAGGAAAAAATACCTAAAAGCAATGTGCTTTCAAACAAAGGAGGGAGAAAGAGCAGTTTATGCATAGACTAGGCATTAGGACAAATAAGACAAGGAGTGGTAGCAGAAAGAGAGTAAAGGAAAACAGCAGTAGCAGACATCTCATGTAAAACAGGCAACTGGGCACACATGTAAAACACAAGAGGAAGTTTAGCATGTAGAAATCCAGGACAAGCTTAGTGATATCTGACATTTTAAAGCCTACCTCAGAAGCTGACCATCTGCAATACCATTGTCCCAGCTGTCCTCAGTCACGCTGCTCTTCTGGCCATTGGACAAGGATGCAGAACTTGTATGGAACTGGAAAGCAGAGAAATAGAAGGCTGGTTTAAAGCTCTGTGCAGCTACCTGCACAGAACTGAGCAGGAGCTCAGTTTCACCCTGGAAAATACGTCAAAAACTGCTGGTGACCCTCACCCATTTAAAACTGCACAAAGTACAGAATAAATTGCAGTAGAGTTGGATTTTGTCTCCACAGGCTTAAGGATGAGGTTAAACTAGTTCAGATAATCTGAGGCTAGGAAGCAGAAATATTTTTCCACCCACCCATGAGACAGGGCATATGGAATGAGTCCTATTCCCTATCCCAAGTTGCTATGGCAACGCTTAAAAAAAGAAATAGAGAAAAAGTCACAACCTGTCACAGCAGAAGAGCCTATGGGCTAATACAGCCAATGACCCAGAGGAAGGCAGTTTAAAACTGTAGCCTTTCCTAGAGAAGTTGTTACCCTGGAAATCGTTAACAACAAGCAAAAAATGAGGATGCAGCCAGCACAATTCAAGCAAACAAAGAAAAACAGTTGAAGCATCAAACACTGACATGAGCAGGCAACACAAAGCAAAAGACAGAGACAAACAGAGCCACCTTCCCAGAGCAGTGTGTTCACATTTCCCACAGTTTACCTCAGACAGCTGGGCCACCTTAACTGCATCCATAAGGTTTTCAAGTTCTTTCAAGATGTTATTCTGTATTGAAATAATGAAGAAAGAGAAACCATAAAGACATTAAAACATTTATTCCAACAAGGATGATGGTAGCCAGAGCAAAGCATGTTCTGGCGAGAACACAGCTTGGTAGAAAGAGTACGCAAATGAACATTTTTCATATGCAGAGTATGGACAATCAGCGATAGCTCACTCCTCCCAAAGTCGAGATGCTTGTGCTGCATACCTTGCCCGCTGCCCCTCCCCATGCCAGCTACACTGTTAGTGCCATACCAGGAAGCAGAGCTTGTGCCGCAGCATAGCATTCTGGAAATGGCATTGCTCCACCTCCTTCTGCAAGATGGTCTTCTCCTGCGTGAGTCGCTGTGCATTGGCTTTCTCCGCATTGAGGGCCAGGGCCAGTGCTTTATTGTTGTGCTTTAGGGAGACTTTAATAGTGGAAGAGTTGTCTGTAAATGATAGAGAAGTATTGCACAGAATCAGCATCCAAGGTCTCATCCATGCCTTCTCCCTCATCATACTTCTTCCTCTTCCCAGAACAGCCTCCCTCAGGCTCAGATCTCTACAATTCAATAGCCCCCACACTAAGTCAGCAGTAAAATTCCTTCCAGCAATACAAGTCTCCAGAGAACAGCAGGAAAACATTTCCATAATAACCTGCAACACTTCAAACACCCTCTCCATCACCGAGGCTCATGTTCAGTCAGCAAGCTACTGCTTCAATTCTTAATGAATGATGTTGTGGTTCAGGTACTGAGTTTAGAAAGTTATGCTTCTGACTTTGAACAAGTCACCTATAGCTCTAAGTCCTCATCCATCCAAAAAGAGGGACAAAACCCTACTTTCCTGTGTAGTAGCCCTTAAGCAGATTTAGATCCATGTTTCCTAATTTCAAAAGAAATAAAAGTAACAGCAATATCTGACTATTTCAAGGTAGTCCAAATTACCTCATGCACTATCATTGCATTATTTCCCCTATAAAAATAGATCACACATGGGCTAGCTTCTGTACAGGATCACATATACGCTAAAATACTTTCCACACCTCTTATTTTTGCTGTTTGGACCCTGCGGACTGTTACCCAGACACAGCTGTCTAATGCCATCTGAGATGCTGCCGAGGAGCCCGTGATGCCCCCAGATGCTGCTCCCCCAAATGTTCTGCATTAAACCTGCCAGTCACAGATATGTCAGACACCTCTGGGCACCTCAAGTGGCAATCGACACTCATTTGCAGGGTCCCGAATTCACTAGAAACGCGCAGGCAGAGAAGCAGCTGTTAAATACAAGCTCTGGATAAGGGACTGCTGCCCACCACCACGGCCACAGGCACAATTACCAGCTGACGGAGCTGCCAGCCTCTGCACACGCTGCAAGGCAAAACACACTCACTAATGATTTTCGTTTTGATTTTTGACGCAAGCGAGGCATTCAACTTCGCAGTCTTCAAGGCACCATTCTTCTTCTCCCGCATCCGCTCTCTCACACCGCTCAGGCTGAAGAAGGATGTTTCGGAAGCTTCCCGCGATGCCATGGCTGGAGACAGAGACACCGAGCAGCGTCAGCACCCGGACTCTCCCGTTCAGCCAGAACCTACCGGCCCAGACCAACACCCCCTCCGGCAGCGTCCCTGC